TTATCAGATAAAAAGAAAAATGGCTTCTCTCATGTAATGTCTTAGTAACGAGAGGCGGAGTAAACAAACAAGCGCGGAACGACTCAGTTTCTTGCGATCGGGCGCTATTCGGCGGTACGCAGCGAGCAGCGGCGAGCGAGGAGTAGAGCTGATAATTATGCACGCCTATAGAGTCCGATCATCGCTCCCCGCGCTTTCATTGGTTCACATTTATTAATTTATATCTCAATAAATATTGCGAATTTTGCAAAATGGTATATAACTTTTCTGTTCAGAATAACTCGATCTACCTACACACGTCGACTTTATAGTTCGTTGTCAGACACCCTGTATATGTATATATGTATACAGGGTGTCTCAGAATTGGTGTAACATCTCTCGTGAACAAATAGAAGGAGTAAAATTGAGTCAAAAAGTTTTATACCATTTTGCTAGATTTGCAATAGTTACCGAGATCTTAATTAACAAAGATCAGCGAATAAGACAGCCCGATGCATGCTTATTCGCTGATCTTTGTTAATTAAGATCTCGGTAACTATTGCGAATCTAGCAAAGTGTTATAAGATTTATCGACTCAGTTTTATTCCTTCTACCTGTCTACGAGAGATGTTACACCAATTCTGGGACACCCTGTATATATATATATATATCCACCGAAAAGCCTATGTCACACTACGGATTAGGATTGAGATTGGATTGCAATTTGGCCAATCAGAGAGCGAAGATCAGTAAACTTAGAATTGATTTTCTTTCTTCTGATTGGTCAAGTTTCAATCCAATCTCAATCCCAATCCGTAGTGTGACATAGGCTAAATACTTCTATATATATATATATATTTCTACTAAATGCTAATCGCACAGAATATATCATGTAAGAAATATATCCGCTCGACCGAGAGGAACAGTACGCATTTTCGATACTGTGTTGCGTGACACTTTCCGATTTTATTTAATAGTATTCTTAATGTTTAAGGTACGTTCGTGAGAATCGAGCAAAACCCAGAAACGGTAGCCTAATTTAAGTACTACGGTGCCAAGATGTTTACTGGTACCAATCTCTCGCTGTGTGTGTGTATATATAACTAAAAGAAAAAACTTGAGAGGAGACAAGAAAAGGATGTGTTTTATATTAAATTAGATTTTAAGAAGAAATACATGCAACGATCAAAGATATATTCGCGAGTACACACGTAGCCGTAATTGAACTTAATACATTTTTTTAAGCTATTTAAAGAAAGACAGGCAGGATTCAAAGATGGAACCGAATGTAACAGAGTGTCAGTCGGTATATAAGAAAAAAAAAAAAAATTAATAAAATCTTTTAACGCGCGCAACAAATGTAACATTACAACTTGGGACAACGCGCATGACGAATCACACAAATTGATCGCTCGAGAGAAAATCCCCCCCTCTCTCTCTCTCTCTCTCTCTCTATCTCTGATTATTGCTCCCTGTCAAAGTTCTCGAATGTGCAATGGGAGAAGTAATCACTCTTGTATAAGAATATTAAAAAGTATTTGTAAATTAATATTAATAATAATAAGTGCATAAAAAAAAAAAAAAAAAAAACGCATGTATATTTGTGAACTCTTCAAATTTTATCATATTTTTGCCGTTAATTTGTCAATATTTGTATTTGAACGTACGTATTCCAAAACTAGGATCTTACATATACGTATTAATTAATTAAGTATATATCCTAATTTTGTAGTTGCGTTCCTTTCCGTTTTTTTTTCTTTTTTTTTTTGGTTTTTTTTTTGATGAAATATGTAAAAGTATACGAGAGTTATTTGGTAGTAAATTTTAATAATCAACAGACTACAATATTTTACATTGAGAAATACAAGAAAACATTTATTACAACCTGTCGCGTAATTGCGCTACTTTTCGCTGAAGGAGAATTTTCATCATAAGACTTGTGTGGATAATATACTTTATTATAATATAATATGATGAAGTAGTTCTTCAGGTTTCCAATGTGGTATTTCCAATAAATTAATAATAGGTATACTGGCGTTTTTTGGAACGATTTGCAGGATCTTTTGCAATAAATTTAGGCTTTCCGATATCCCAAACGTTTCGGTTATATTTTTAACCTTCCTCAGTGTGGGTGCTATTACAAATTTAGTTACAAAATTATCGTACTTATAATGACAATACAAATTAATTAATGATATTAAACTTGTGTCACAGATACTAGCTGGGATTTGAGAGTCAATCTTTAGTACATAGTTTAATATCATTAATTAATTTGTATTGTCATATATATATATATATATAAGATAATTTTGTAACTAATTTGTAATAGCACCCGCTGACCCGGTAAAAAATTTTTCATATATACTCTTATACACAAATTAAAATAATTATATCTAATTGTGCAAATTTATATGTCCGAATATGTCCATACAATTTTATACACGAAGAATTTTTTTTTTTAAGAGAATGGCTTCAGAGACATTCCACATCAAATTACAAAATAACTCTATTAGTATCATGTTAGATACAAAAAATTATATAAAACTATATTTTTATTATATTTTTAAAAAATTTTTGATATATAAATCATATATACTTAAAATAGTAGCCTAAGAAATAGCTCCAAATATTTAAATAATGGTAAGGACGTAAATGTGGCCGTTGAAGCAAAAACACTGTTGTGATTGTGTAGGAAATATATTTGTTTACTAAGTTAACAAGTAATATATAGTATACTTGTTAACTTAGTAAACAAATATATTTCCTACACAATCACAACAGTGTTTTTGCTTCAACGGCCACATTTACGTCCTTACCATTCATATATATATACTTATACACAAATTAAAATTATTATATCTAATTATACAAATTTATATGTGTGTGCCGAATATTGTCCATACAATTTTATTACATGGAAAATTTTTTTTACCGGAGAGGAAGGTTAAAAATTATAACCGAAACGCGTTTAGGATATCAGAAAGCCTAATTTATAGCGAAAGATCCTGCAAATCGTTTCAAAAAACGCCAGTATACCTATTATACTTTATTATTATTACTTACTGGAAATTTGTTCCGCGCGTCATAGATGTTTTTTTGAATTTTCTAATTGCAAATGCGTTTAATTAACACACATAACGACGTGGATTTTCAAACGCGATAGAAAAATTGCGAAAGGCGCAACCGCTCGTTTGAAATTTGAAATTTGTCAAGATGGCGACGAGGATACGCGAAGTTGCTTTACGCGTTAATAGATGGCGTTATCGACATCGTGACTCCTTCGAAGTGAGAGTGCGATTGTTTCTAACCGATTTAAAAGTGTACTCGTTAAACGTAGCGAACTCTCGTCGAGACACTGGTGTTCGATTCTTTGTGTAATCTGTTCCCAACATCTGCTAATTAATTAATTGCAAAGATACACAGGCGGTGCACTTTGTATAGGATAATCAAACACCGGAAATAGCCAAGTTGACCGCAATAGAGAGAGATAAACAATGATAAACCGTCACCAGGGACAGGGGTTTTGTATGTCCACGACTAATTAACGTAAAAAAAGTGTGTAATCTATTGTTTCTCGTGTCTATGTGACCGCAACATGCAAATCGGTATACGCAATTTTAATTTCTTCCTTGACCCCCGTTGATCCTGACCCTCGACGTCGTCCGATGAGAAACGCGTTGTACAGGTTATGTACGTTGTAATTGTCGGAAAGAGAGGAGATGTTTAAAAAACTTATCGCCTTGTCGCGGAATTCCACTTGATCGTCTCGAAAAAAAATTATCGTTTCCCAAACAATCCGCGGAGATTCGCGGTGCGACATCACGTGATCGAAACAATTGTATATCTATCTGGCTCGAATTTTTTTTTTTTTTTTTTTTTTTTGAGTCGGGCGATGTCTAGGATTGTGTGTTTCGAACGAATACGCAAATTTTTATTGTAATCGGAGAAATAAATAATTGAGATATCAAGGATGGCCGATGAATTGACGGCGGAGACGTTACGGGGCGATGATAACGAGTGCGTCATTGATACCGAGATTGACGTGGACGACGAGGACTCGGATGGTGTTATTGTTCCGGAACTTCAGGGTACATTATCGAAATGGACAAATTACATACACGGATGGCAAACTAGATTTATTGTACTCAAAGACGGCACTTTGTCTTATTACAAATCCGAGCAGGACAGCGGATTTGGATGTCGTGGCTCGATTAGTTTGTACAAAGCCAATATCAAGGTAAAGAGAGATTGTGTGCGATAATTGTACATCAGTCTACCTGAATAATTTGAATATATATATATAATATATTTAATATATTTATAATATATATAATATATTTTATATGATTCGGCAGTGGTTGAGATAACGAGTTTTTGTGTGTTAAAACAATCTGTTTGTCTTAGGCGCATCAATTCGATGAATGCAGATTTGATGTGTCTGTTAACGACTGTTTGGTTTGGTATTTGAGAGCAAGCAGTCCGGAAGAAAAGCAACGATGGGTAGACGTTTTGAAATCTTATAAGGTAATTGCTGTTAAACTATTTTGCAAGAGATTGTCTATCTTGAAATGACACCTGTGTGCGTGGACACGCACACACGCATGAAATAGCCTTTGTGTTTTAAATTTGCTTATAACATTTTTTTTTATGTTGTTACTTAAAAACTCTCAAGTATGTAAAATAGAAATTTAAGATGTTGTTGATTTTTGCGTTTAATTAAAGACTAATGGAATTTCTTCTGTTCATACACAATTTCTTAAAAAGTCGGAATCTGGTTATGGAAGTGAAAATAGTCTCAAACGACACGGTAGTGCCATTTCGCTTGTGTCTAATACACAATCGACGACAAGCGCTGGTAGCTTCACCAAGCGTGGTATTCGAGGACTCAAAGAAAAATTAGCCGAAATAGAAACGTTCAGAGACATCCTGATAAAGCAGATTGATACTTTGCAAAAGTATTTTGACAACTGTGCGGAAAATGCTAAGAATACTTCCAAGAAAGGTAAGGGCCTAAGAACACAATAGAGAAAATATTAGGAATAGGAATTAAAAACAGAGGTTGAATGTAATGTACAGTGCAAAAAAATAATATATAACATTTATATGTATATAAATATAAATATATCATGTAACTATGACATACTCTTCCTGTATTTATATA